TTATTTATCGTGAGTTTTACAACATGGATAGCTATTTCGAATGGAGATAATGGTCAACTCTAGTGGCTGATTTTTCTTTAGCTCCTGTTTCGGTAGCATTCACTGGAATTTAATGGTGCATCAGGAGCTGATTTTGCGGAATAATAGGAATTCCTAATCAAGACGAATAGCTCAACGTTGCATAGCGGAAAGGAATTCCGGTCATTATTTTAAGGAAAGAACTTTTTTTTTTTTTTTACGTTTCGTACCTCTAGGAATTCAGGAGTTATGGTAGGTATAAGGTATTGCCTGCTGCATATTTAAAAATCTTTGCAATTTATTGAAATGAATTAAAGAAGTATAAAATAATTAAATTTCAAAAAAACGTTTACAGGGCGAATCTGTTCTGGCTATGTAGTTAAATTGAGTAATACGACCAAAACAGAAGTTTCGAAATTTTTACAGCAGGAATGTATATACATAAATTTGATTAGTTTAGGATAACTCAGAAGGAAAAATATCCTTCCATGGAAGATTCTATATGCAGATCTCAACCAGAGTTTTTGATTTTCGCAATGGCATCTGGCTAAAGAAAATTTGACAAGCTAGACACTTCAGGGTTCCAAAGCTCACTGTACAGATCTTTGGTGGAACACAAAGCCTTTCAACATCATATTACTGAATCCGGTCACATCGCTTACCAAACGGATAGTGAGAAATATGCCTAATCAGGTTATGAAATTAAAGCTGTTACGTCTCTTAGGTCTTGAAGTTTATCTTTATATAAAATACAAGTGGAAGACTGGTTTAACTCTCAGTTGAATTTTACGTTTTCACGAAATTTCATTGAAAAAATGTGAAAAGAATGGCTGCCGAAATAAATTACGGTGAATAATAATTTAACTCTATGGATTTATTCGACTTTCGTGCTTCTCCTGTCGCTTCTTAAATCAGGGTAAATGTAACGAATTACTTCATTCTTAGGTGTGAGTGGTAGCACTTCCAGCTCTCATTTGCAAGATCCGTGGTTTGCTTCTCGGCGAAAACATACATAATTTTTCGTACGTCATATTCCGGAAACAAAACCATTGGCTCTTCGACATTGAAATGTTAGTGTTTGTATGCACGTATCCACCCTTTACAACCATTTAACTGTCAGCTCTCTGTCATTACATCGTCACTCCACTCGTCGGACTTTGCTATTTGGAATATGTATGTACTCATCCGATACCTTGTTCTAGGCACGTGTGTTAAGCATTTGTTATAGACAGCTATAGCAGTGGGGTGTTTCGTGTGGTATGCTATAATTGCAGTAAATAAGCTACTCCACTGTTGGCGAAAGCAAAGTTACTTGAGAAATCGTTTAAGTAAGTTTGTGAAGAAAGTAAGAAAACGTCAAACTGCTTACAAATTATATATATAGTTAAACAAATTTAAATTTAAATTTTAACAAAACGTATAAAAGTAAAAAAGTAAAAAAGCAAATTTAAGGCCTAAAAAAAGAAAAAAAGCCAAAAAAATAAAAAAAAAAAAAAAAAAAAAATATGCAAACATATAAAAGATTTAATTCTCGAACTAATCTACAATATCATTTAAATTCAAAAGCATAAGCAAATCAAGTGCAAAAACAATCCATGAAAATAAATTCACTAATTTAGCAAATTAAAATTAAACTAAACAATTTTTTTTAAAAATTAAACTAAACAATTTTTTTAAAAATGCATAAGTGAATGACTGTTGAGTAGGCAGGAGACAGACTTATCAAGGGGAAGTTGCCTCCAAACCTAACTCTCCAATCATTCAATTCGTGTTTCGTCATTCAATGCAGGCAAGAGTAAAAGTCAAAACCAAAAGTAAAAAGAAATACCAATAAAAGTGGTACCCTTAGAAATTAACATTTAAGATTTAAACGTTAATTTCTAATTTAAATGTTAATTTTTTTTAAATTTTGGCTTTTTTTCTTTTTTTATTTTTTTAGGCTTTAAAATTGCTCTTTCACTTTTTTACTTTTATACGTTTTGTTAAAATTTAAATTTAAATTTGTTTAAATTTAAATTTCATCCCTTGCAGCAATGGCGCAAAGAATATTGAATTAAATTTGTATTTAAATTTGATTTTTTAATTAAATTCAATTTATTCTTAAGAAACAATTATATATATATATATATACATATATATTTGCAATAATAATAATAATCACCATTGAGTGCATATATATATATATATATATGTGTGTGCACTCAATAGTGATTATGTTCATGCCTATTAAGTTCAAGTATAACACAGAATAATATATAATTTGTGAAATATTTAAGAAGTTCTGATCTGTGCGAACCGATGCCAAATTTTATTGTAAAAAATTAAGACAAACTATTTTTTTTCCCCTTGAACGGCAAGAGCTCGAGATGTGAACCTTTGATGGCTTGGCAAATGTATGTGTGATAAATAGTTTTGTCCGCAAGCTTTTTGCCAGGATATCAGGGCCGATGAGAACCTCAGTGTCAGTGGTACGGTTGTGAAGATCCTTTGTATTAGCGGGGTCTGGAGGTAGAAAGCTAGCAAGTATTCTCAAGAATACTTGCTGGATCACGTATAGGAACAAAAATTACCATGGCATTAAAGGGTTTTTTCTTGCTCTGTGCTTCTTACCCATAACCGTGAAAATGTTTCATTGAGATATTCCTGAAAAAGGTCTTTGTTTCTGTGAAAATTGTCTGATTGAGATACTCTGCTACATGTTTTCAATGAGTGACGCTGTGGTAGTGAAACAGAGAACTATATTGTTAGAAGAGGTAATCACCACTGCTTAAATTCAGTTGAGGCAGGAACCAGCTTCCCAGTATTTCAGTATGTCTTCTAAATGAAATATAAATATCTACGAATCAGAAAGTGGATAGTAAAGTATTTGCTACATATAGTATAAAAACCCTTTATGAGGTTCATCTATTTCAGAGCAATAAAATTTGTTACCGGTTACGTAGTTTATTTATGGTTAACCCAAAGAAGCATTAGCCCAGAAGGGCTAATAGTATGGAAACGGCATTTTGTGTCGAACAACTAAAATTTAAATTGCTGTCATCAAATATTATGGCTATGCATTGTATTTAAAGAAATTAAGTAATAAAGAATTTGCATGAATGTATGTATGTTTCTTTCACTGTGAAAAAACGGCGGTACCTAGAGCACCCAAATTTTGAATAACTCAGTCTTTCACTTGAATACGGAAAGTCCGAATTTTGAATTTGTTTTATTATGTATTTTATGTTTTGTAAAGCTTTAACGAATTTTTGATGAACAAACTCAATGATTTCAATCCGAGAAGTGCCACAACATTAGAAGACATACTGGAATACTGGACGGAGTAAAGCATTTTTATCTCAAGGGCGTGAAACTGTCTATCGTAAATTCGAAAGACATACTGTTTTTAAATATTTTTAGCCCAAACGGACGTTATCCCAAATGCTTTCAAAACATGTATAAGCAAGTAAATGGAAAAAAAAAAAAAAAAAAAAAAAAAAAAAAAAAAAAAAAAAATTGAAATGTTTCAGATTTTAAATTACGTCCAAAAGGGGCGTTTTTTAACATTTTGTGTGTTACCTTTCTTTATTAAATATCATGTTCCTCGCACTTAAACCATAAGATCCAGTGCAACAGCAATATCGCAAAATAGTTTTAAAACGAGCATATCTTTAGAATTTCCGATACAGAGACTCACGCGCTGGAGATAAAAATGTTTTTTCTGCACAAAACGTTGCCATTGCTCGCTTTGAAATCCTTGAGTTTGTTAATCAAAAATTCGTCAAAGTTTTAAAAAATAGGAAATCGATCATAAAACAAGTTTCAAATTTCAAATTTGGTCTTCCACATGCTCATATTCGTTGGAGGATTACGTTATTCCAAATTCGATGACTCTATGTACCGTTATTTTATGACAATGTGAGAAATATACATACATTTACGCAGATTTTCATTATTTAATTTCTTCAAATATAATGCAGGACTCTAACATTTTATGGCAACAGTTTGAAAAATGAACCGACATTTATCCGTCCGACGCAAATAGCCAAAACGAAACTAATAGTCCTTCGGGATTCAAATCCCTTTGGACTAAAAATCTGAAATGTTTCAGATTTTAAATTACGTCCAAAGGGGCGTTTTTTAACATTTTGTGTGTTACCTTTCTTTATTAAATATCACGTTCCTCGCACTTAAACCATAAGATCCAGTGCAACAGCAATATCGCAAAATAGTTTTAAAACGAGCATATCTTTAGAATTTCCGATACAGAGACTCACGCGCTGGACATAAAAATGTTTTTTCTGCACAACGTTGCCATTGCTCGCTTTGAAATCCTTGAGTTTGTTAATCAAAAATTCGTCAAAGTTTTAAAAAATAGGAAATCGATTATAAAACAAATTTCAAATTTCAAATTTGGTCTTCCACATGCTCATATTCGTTGGAGGATTACGTTATTCAAAATTCGATGACTCTATGTACCGTTATTTTATGACAATGTGAGAAATATACATACATTTACGCAGATTTTCATTATTTAATTTCTTCAAATACAATGCAGGACTCTAACATTTTATGGCAACAGTTTGAAAAGTGAACCGACATTTATCCGTCCGACGCAAAATGCCAAAACGAAACTAATAGTCCTTCGGGATTCAAATCCCTTTGGACTAAAAAAACCACAACCGTTTCTCTAAGCGCTATATAGAATTTAAAAGCTTTCAGATTTTTTTTAAATTAAAAAAATATTTTACGGAAATACTAATTATAATCATGTAATTGAATACAGAAGTTACCATAAATGTAAATGTTAGGATAACTTAAAATAAAAATATTCTAGAAACCCTGCGTGTCCTTGTTAACGAAACGCGTCCTTGTCTATGTGTATTTAAACAAAATTTACAGTAAATTAAAAATAAATTAAGAAATTTAACTACGTTCTACCTATAAAACTATGAAAAATAATATATTGAAATTTGATTATGAAATCAGGAAAAACGACTTACTGCAACTCATGGAGTCTTTCATTTTGTAGACATCCGTTCCAAATATTCTCGTACCATATTTATCGACACAGTAACACCTGAAAATTATAGAATCAAATAAAGTATTTCTGAAAACTAAAGAATCAAATAAAGTATTTAATGTCATTTAAGAAAGGTTTCCCTGAAACTGCTTACTGTGACTAAAATATTAATATAATTATAAAATGAACCCTTATGAAAAGTTAATTAATATTTATGATTGAAAAAATAATGGGCAGAAATAGCATCTTATAAAGTGAATTAAAATTAAAAAGTATATAAAATTACAAAACATTACTATTTTACCTGACTTAATCCACAGTTATGGTTTGAGGACCACAGGTGATCCCCTTATATTATGCCTTGTCCTTGTTCACAAAATGAACAAGATTTTACATTTTTTTGATACAAACCGAATTTTGTTTTATTTATACCATGTTGTGGATGATTTTAAAAGGTACACTCACTGTTCAAGCACAACATAATATGTTTATTTTTTCATTTGATATTCTTTCGGCTGTGGTAATTTTTATCCCATTGCCTTAGCTTACAGTTTAGGAGAGTTAAAATAATTAAGGCAACTCTAGGAGACTTTCGTTAGGTAAACTACTTCATGTTAATTAAAATATGCAATTTAAAGGAGGAAGAACCGCAAAAAATTAATGATTCCCTTTGTTTTACTCAATAAGCGAAAATTCGGAAGCTAAAATTTTGTTTATAGTTCTTTAAGAAAGTAAAACAATTCTTCAAACACACTATTACAGCAAAACCTCAACCTACGGTTTCTCGACTGAGCGGAGAAAAAAAATCGATGACTGACAGAAGCGACTGAGGTGGAAAAATATCACGCATCATAAATTAGTAAAGTATTTTAAGCAAATAACACATACTACTTTCAACAAGAAAGTACATTAATAAGTCAGACATTCTCCAATACTTCTTCGCTAAATTTTGCTTTAGTTGAAAATGAAACTTTTCAAAGACATATTATATATTCTCCTCCATATCATTTCCATTTAACGCATAGGAAAACGTTTGAAATTTTTATAAAGCTTTGTGAATAATGTAAGTTGCCATCATCTACTGTGGATATACCTTAATTTTCTTCCTCTGTACCCTTTACACAGGCTTATTCAAAAATAAATGGCAAAAATGTAAAGGGCACCGAAATAAACAGATTTTGTAATGGAGAATTTGTTGGGTTTTGTAAATTTTTTGTGCGTGCAGAAATGATGCGTTGATGTACTGGTGTCGCGACACAAAGTTTAAGAAACTCTGTACTAGAGTAAAGAATCATTTACCGAATTTCGAAAGGTATGCATTGCTACAGGAAAGTGAAGCTCATCGACATTTGTTTTATCCATGAGAGTATTGATTAAAATGGAGCAGCTGCTCAAAGTCTGTTCTCTGCAGGTTCCATTTCAGCTGAAACCTCGTGTATAAAATACATGTCGGTGAGTTTCGCTTTCGTGTAACGATGCACGCCGCTCGAAATTCACACGGGTACGATGATTTACGCCAGCAGATTTTACTTGTATCTCAATACTGCCCTGTACCAGCCAATGCGCCGTATAAATTGAATAAGAAAATCTGAATTATATTGAATGTAGTAATGAAATATCATTACAACATAGTAGATGTTGTAATGAAATGTTATTACAATATCTACTTGTTTTGGTTCGCTCTACCTTGTCCTGACATTTTCGCCCTATATTTTTGGAAAATTTGTATATTCAACTAAAAAGTAACACTGAAATCCCTGTAAATGAACAGAAATACAATAAAAACTAAGAGATAGATAAATTTATTGCAACTTTCTAGGACATTACGCTTAGTAATGCGGACGTGGAGGTGAGAGCAACATGTAGATCGTTGCTACATTACTGTGTTGGAGTCTAAGAGTTTGGTTTGGTTTAAATGATTATAGAAAAGCACACTAGGGTTATCTGCCTAAGGGAAAGGAATGCCTTCGTGAAGAACTTTCCGAGGAAAACTGACTCGTATACACGTTACACATGGGTAAAAACACAAAAACGCCCATGCAGCCAGCCCGTTTGCCTGGAATCGAATCCAGTTCAGAACTATCAGTGTTCAGCGATTTTTACCGTACGCCCTCTGGTGAGCCACTATAGTCTAAAGATAATGCAAATAAAAAATAATAAAAATGCTTTTCTCTGATGAGGAAAATGTTGTGTCTGGAATATAATTTCCAGATAGGGAATGAGATAAAACCTCAGGAATAGCTGGAATGAAAATAACAACCCAGAACTTTAAGGAGAACTAAAATGGCGAGCAATACATACAACAAAACGATCGTTGCGGAAACGATACACTAAGCTTTTGTTTCACAAAATTGTTTATATTTTTCTTCACTTTTAATCATCCTCTCCTGTTTTATGTTACATTATAAGGTATTTCTCCCTCCTTCTTGGTATGCCTTCGTGGTGGGGTGGTCTGCACGCTACCGAATTCATTGAATGAGAAATATATTTCTAATGAAATTTGAGGAAATAAAATCTAAATGAAATGCAGCAAAAATGTATATTACATGCAAATTAATATTAACCTGCATTATATAATGTGTGTAGTATGTGAAATGCAGGTTTGTAATATGAACTAGGTAAACTTGGCACAGAATTGTAACAAACTGCTTAATGTATCTTATGGTGTCAAGCAGCATAATGACTACTGCATATGAATCACAGACTTATGCATATAGTATGCCTATTAATCACGTATCTGACTATTTATACACAGACTGCACCCCAATCTGTAGATAACCTTTTCTTCTGCAAATTGATAATGTTACAATATTTCAACATGGTGACTTTCACTGCATGTATATTACATGCAAATTAATATTAACCTGCAATATGTAGTGTGTGTAGTATGTAATATGTAGGTTTGTAATATGCACCATGTAAAATGGGCAAACATCGCCAGTGAGCATAATGAAAATATAACGTTTACATAACTCATCACAGTTCTATTTATAGTCGATTCTGTGTATCGTGCAAGACTTTAAATAATAATGAATGAGTAATGTTAACCTAAGTATCCAACTATGTGTAATAAACGTAAGTATAGAATCTAACAGCAATAAAGTATCTTAAACACAAGTATTAATCATTTTCACAAAGTACCACAACATACGTTTTATTCAATTTCTGAGTAATTGTAAACTGTACTGTTTAATGTCTGTAATATGTACCATGCTAATATTGTAGTAATATTTACCATGCTAATATTATTGTAATATGTACCATGCTAATATTCTAAGTAATTGTAATCTGTAAATGCCTGTAATATGTACCATGCTAATATTCTAAGTAATTGTAATCTGTAAATAAGTGTAATATGTACCACGTCTCAGTAATTGTGTGTAATATGTACCATGCTATCACTCTCAGTATTTAAACTTAAGCACTAATCAATCTCTCAGTAAATGTTAACTGTACTATGTAATGTGTGTAATATGTGCCATGCAAGTATTAATTAATATTATTAACTATTAATCAACTTCTTAGTAAATGTAATCAGTATTATGTAATGTGTGTACTATGTATCATGCATGTCTGTAAACAATAATGAATGTATAATTATGTTTAATTAATATTAAAATATTGAACCTCACGGATGCAACGTACCTTAAGCATAAGTAAAAACAATTTCAGTAAATGCAATATGTAGTATGTAATGTGTGAGAATATGTACCATGCAATATGAATGTATATGCATCAAGAAAGTCCGAATATGTAAGTTTAAATAGGGTATAGAACATATAATAGTCATATATCATCAAGTCAGAATATGGTAATAGGTACCATGCAAGTCTGAACATAACGGATATAAGTACTATTAAATTTCTGAGTAATTGTAATCTGTACTATTTAATGTGTGCAATAAGTACCATCTAATATTGTTGTAATGTGTAACATGCTAATATTCTCAGCAATTGTATTCTTAGTAACTGTAAACTGTAAATGTGTGTAATATGTACCATGCAAATATACTCCATGTCTCAGTAATTGTGTGTACCATGTCATGTACCATGTCAATATTCACAATAACAGTAAAGTAATCTGTGCTATTTAATGTGTATAATATGTACCATGCTAATTAATTAGTATGCACTATTTAATGTGTGTAATATGTATCAATGTGTGTAATATGTACTGTGCAAACTGTAAATAATAATTAATGCGTAAAGCCAACCTATGTGTTAACCTAAGCACCCAACTATACATACTTAAAGTAAGAATTGAACCAAACAGTAAAGTACCTTAAACATAAATATTAAGTACCGTAAACAAAAGTATTAATCAATCTCTCATGTAAACTGCACTATGAAATGTGTATAATATGTACCATGTAAGTATTAATTAATATTATTAATTAATAATTAAATTCTTAGAAATGTAATCTGTATTATGTAATGCGTGTACTATGTACCATGCAAGTCTTCTCAGTAAATATAATCTATACTATGTAATGTGTATAATATGCACCATGCAAACCTAAACAATAATGAATGCGTAGTGTTAAATATGTGTTAACCTAAGTACCTAAGGTGTAAAGTACCTTTAACATAAGTATTAATCAATTTCTTTTGTGTGTAATATGTACCATGCAAGTCTGTAAATAATAATGAATGCATAGAGTTAACCTAATTATCTAATCATGTATAATTAACGTAAATATTGAACCTCACGGATGCAAAGAACCTTAAACATAAGTCATAATCATTTTCCCAGTAAATGTAATGTGTAATATGTAATGTGTGAAATATGTACCATGCAATATGAATGTAAATGCACCATGCAAGTATGAATAAGCAAGTCCGAATACGGTACGGCATGTATAATAGTCCTGCAAGTCAGAGTATGGCAATTTGTACCATGCAAGTCTGAAAGGGTAGTGATAACCTAAGTACCTAATTATGTCATTCTAGATAAGGGCGGACGTGGTGCTCATACCAATTAACCGTAACGGTAGAGGGATGGTGCCCATGTCCTCCGTCACTTACTCACTCACCCTGTAGCAGACACCTATGTCATAT